GAGAGAGAGAGAGAGTTTTCTGTGCGAGAGATGTCTAGTATATATAACTAATGGGAATGGTTGCTGTCAGCCCACGGGCTGATTGCTACAGTATCAGCCAATGGCCCAGATTGAATCTGGGTTGATTTGATGATCACGATTTTATTTCGTATTTGAATTTTTATTTATTTTTCTACAAATCCAAATCACTTGAAAATTTACACGTACATTCTACTTATCAAGGCGCACTCAATAAAAATATAAAAAAAATAATTCACAAAATATAAATTGACCAAAATACACTCGAAAAGTTTTAGGGGGTATTTTGATCAATTTATATGTTTTGAATTATTTTTTAATATTTTTATTATATTCTACTATTTTTTAAGAATAGATGTTCAAAATTTCAAGTTATTTGGATTTGTATAAAAAAAAATGACCACTGGATTGGGCCCAGATTCAATCTGGGCGGTTGGCTGATACTGTAGTTGTCAGCCTGTGGGCTGACAAGATCTTTTTCCATACCTAATATATATATATATATATATATATATATATAGAGAGAGAGAGAGAGAGAGAGAGAGAGAGAGAGAGAGAGGTCTAATCTGCGAGAGAAAGTGAAGAATCTAATCTGATGCTGTGGTTCAGGTTGTCATCACCAAATGCTACCATTTATTTTGCTCTCCATGCATACATAAAGCTCTTGAAAGCCGTCACCGCAAGTGCTCCATATGTGGCTTGACCTTTGGACTCAATGATGTGAAAAATGTCTACCTATAACTGGAGGGATTCAAGATCAAGATCAAAGCCCCATTTAAAGCTTCAGCGCAATAACTCTTGGCTCAATTAGGTTTGATTCTCATGTACCTTTAACATGATTCTTTTCTTCTTTTTTTCTTTCTTTGTAAAATATCGAAACAGAGGAAAGCCATTGTTGAATTCGGTTTTCCCTTACCCATAGGACATTTCCCTGGCCTAGAGCAGCTCGCTGTTGCTGAATATTGTCAGCTCATAATTCCGGGATGTAGGTATTTGTTTGGGAGGAGTGCTTTTTGATCTTGTGTAAATTTCTCTTGCTTCTATTGATTTTGGTCTCTCTCTCTCTCTCTCTCTCTCTCTCTCTCTCTCTCTCTCTCTCT